AAAAAAACCTTCTTTGTTTCTTGGGCTTCCTCCGCAAATCATGTGGTTGAGGGTGTGTTTCTGTACTTAAATTCAAGCATTGGTGGCTTGACTTCATGTAAGTTGGCTTGTTTATACGGACGAATGAGCGCTACCCGTTTTATAGGCTCCGTCTCCAAAAAGGCGCCTTGTTTTTATCCATTCATTTATTAAATTTATTGCCCCCCCCCCTTTTTTAACCACAAGGTGGCTTACAGGTATGAAAAGGATAAGACTAAGTAAAAAATATTACAAAAAATAGAAATGCACAAAAAAACAGAAATATAGATATATATTTTTTTGGGGCCTCCTCTTCAGGATGCCCACCCCCTGTAAAACTTTTTTTTAAAGTTGTGGGTGTGGGCACGTGCCCCGGGTGATACAACATGTGATGTAATCATTGGGAGTCCCACAAAATGCATCGCCCGGAGGTACTATCTGAAGTCAGAGTCACAAGAACGCCCGAGTCAAAAAAAATCTCCCACAAATGACAGCTTGTGTGACACAAGACATCCTGTCCGGAGACGTTTTTTGGTTTCCTTATGATTCAGTTCTTCTTTAGAAAGGTGGCTTTACTCTCAGTGTTTGTTTGACGCTGAGGAGGAGAAAACAAACCTTGGGATTTCTCTCAGTAAGTTTCTGCCTTTATTTTTTGCTTTCCGGATGTCGGGGAGAGTCGATCCTCAAGTTAAACAGGTTACCCGGTAAAAGAGAATATTTATATAGCTCAGAGTTGAACTGTGGGGGTCCTTGGCGCTCTCTGAGCTTGCTGCTTTTCTTGCCGACGTTTCGTGACCCAGCTAGGGAACATCATCAGTGTTAGAAGGGAGGGGGTTTTGTGGAGAGGAGGAGGACTGTGGGATCCTTCATGCTCTCTCAGCTGGGTGGTTTTTCCTGCAGACATTTCATGACCCAACTAAGTAACTAAACAGGTTGTTTTGTTCTGATTTACGCTGGCGATCCTGAGCAGGACATCCTGATTTTTTTAACTCCCACGAGCTACAAAACGAGATTGGAGAAGGACCGTGTAGTTTCTGAAATGTTCTTTGCCGGTTGAGCCTCCGCCTGGATTTCTTGGCATTCGATCCGAGGCTTTGGTGGGCTCTAGTTGCCATTTCTTGAGCTGGTAAAAAGGTGTGTGCGTGCATGTGTGTGCGTGTCTAAAATGAGAGAGCCTAGAGAAGTGGCTTTGTTTGGAAAAGTTGGGTGTGAACCAAGAACTTCAGCTTGCAGGTCATTGTAGCATGTAGTAACTAGTTCTCGGTTGAAGGATTTGGTTCTAGAGAGACCCTTTTTTTTTCTTTCTTTTTTCTTTATGTTGCTTCATGCTACCTGCTGTTAAATTCTTCCTATCTCTTTAGGTTGAGGAAGAGACTGATAGAAGAGAATTTGTAGGTCAGGGTTGAACTGTGGGGTCCTTGATGCTCTCTGAGCTTGGTGGTTTTCTTGCGGACGTTTCATGACCCAACTAGGGAACACCATCAGTGCTAGAAGGGAGTGGTGAAGGAGGAAGAGGAATATGGGGTCCTGGGTGCTCTCTGAGCTTGGTGGTGTTTCATGACCCAACTAGGGAACATCATCAGTGCTAGGAAGGAGTGGAAAGGAGAAGAAAAAGGAAGGAAGGAAGGAGAGAGAGAGAGAGAGTTGTGGGGTCCTGGGTGCTCTCTAAGCTTGGTGGTGTTTCATGACCCAACTAGGGAACATCATCAGTGCTAGGAAGGAGTGGAAAGGAGAAGAGGAAGGAAGGAGAGAGAGGAGAGAGAGAGAGAGAGAGAGAGAGAGAGAGAGAGAGAGAGAGAGAGAGAGAGAGAGAGAGAGAGAGAGAGAGAGAAAAGAACTGTGGGGTCCTGGGTGCTCTCTGAGCTGGGTGGTTTTCTTGCGGACGTTTCATGACCCAACTAGGGAACATCATCAGTGCTAGAAGGGGCTCGTATATAAACAGAGAGCAAACCCCCCTCCCTTCCAGCACTGATGATGTTACCTAGTTGGGTCATGAAACATCTGCAAGAAAACCACCCAGCTCAGAGAGCACCAAGGAACCTCCCCCGCCCCCACGGTGAGGCACACTTTTTAATCTAAAGCCAAGTAAACACCTTTGCATCAACACACAGCGTACACACAGTTTATGCCAGCCAGCCGCCACTTAACCATTGTAGAATTGAGGTTTGGCTCCCAAGTCAAGGAGTGTAGGAATTCTGCCTCTGGCTTGTCGGTGTGTCCGTATTTACATCATCCTTTTTTTAAAAAAGGGCAAACGTGTCAGGTGTTTTCAACCCTTGTGTTGACGCGCAATAATAATGTGTAGCTTCAGCCTCTTTCGAAGCCGATGGGCGTGGTCTCCGGAGCGCAGAAATTCTGGAAAAATATTTTGAAACCGTCTAGTGGTTTCCCCTTCCCCATTGTTCTTTTTTTTTTTTTTTCCCCTCATTGAAAAATGAAAGTTGGTTTACCGGAAAAAAAAACACCAAAAAAAAAACCTGGCCAAGATTTCTGGGCTAGTTCCTCCCCACTCCTTGTTTTTTTTTTTCCCCCTGAAACTTAACTTGAAAAACTAGTTGAGCCGATGTCTGTCGTAACTCCGAAACTTTGGCGGTCTTTTATTTATTTATTTATTTATTT